GAAAGCGATCTCCCGTTCAGGCCTCCAGCACCTCGGTCCACCTCAGCCGTCGCTGCCTCCTGCATCCAACGGGCCCAACAAGGAGCTACGAACCTATGTGGACTGGACGGTCAGCCATGCACAAACACCTTTTTCTACTTCTATTTCACACATGCTCAAACTTTTAATAAACCTAAATGCAAACTGTGCATCATGCACATGGCTCCAAATACTGCACAAAAAGACTGTCTGCATTGTCCTTATTCTGTCTGGCTGAGTCACTAAATGACATTTGGATTTTTTTCATGCCAACAGATTTGTTAGCAGACTGGTTTCAGCAGCCGTATGTTCATGTGGAAGTGAAAAGAAGCTTTCTTATTTTAATTTTTTTTTTTTTTTTTTGAAAATGTCTTGACAACCAAAGATGGCAAAGAAAGTTTTAAGTGACAGGATGCGACTTCTTCATGGTTTGATTTCGCACGGACTTAATGGCTCTCTCTTTCATAACGCCTCTCAAAGCTGAAGAAACTTTAAAAAAAATAAATAAATCTCTTCTGCTTTTTAAAATGCTGCAAAGGTCCGATGGTTAGAGAAATGCCAAATTGATGTAGAAGTGTTCCCATAAATGTCACGAATCATCTCTGCAAAGTAGAAAAGGAAGAAGTCATGAAGTGCATCAGAAAACCTCATTTCCATTGAAATCTGCCCCAACAAAAAAAGCAGGACATTTATAAAAGCTGGTCCACCTTGTTAACCCATGCGAAACAGAACACGTCCATGTCGGCTGCACTCTTAACCTCAACCTCATATCGTCACTTATTCTCCATCTTGTGATGATAAAAACTGAACCCCTGCATTATCCACAAGGTCGCCATTTCAGCAGAGAGCAGCATTTCTTTTGATCCAATCTAACCTCCTACACTGAACTGAACCCTCTGTTTCTCTTGTGTAGACACCTTAGAGAAAAGGCTCTTTGAAGCCTTAGAATACACTAGAAGACGCACAATGAATATCTTTCTAGACGTGACCCACAAGTCCTGTAAACTAGTTCTGTAAACGACTTCTTGTGAGTTATATGACACAAAATATTTCAGAAAATCGGTGAGGTCAGGATGTTATAAGGTTGGAAATGATTCCAATACTCTCTCAGAAAATATCGACTTACAATTTTTTGACCATATAAAAGGCAGGGTTGGTAATGATTCTGAAAGTAGCATTCCCTCAGTGCTCCGTCTGCACCCCCTCCCCTCTGTGCTCCCTCTACAAGCCACGCCCCCCCCTCACTTACATGCACGAGCACCATCGCTCCAGAAGCGGACCTCAGCTCATCGCTTTCATCGTGTAGAAACTACGTCGTCTCACGTCCCATTCAGCCGTAACTAAACTCACAGTATTGAGTGTGGGCTCGTGCACGCCATGGTTAGAGAGCGAGCAGGGAGACAGGGAGGTTTATGATTGGTTCATCAGATTGGTACCTCGTGGCAGACATTAGTCAAAGTTTTTACAGGCTTACAAACTGATACAGATGACGGATTTTCTTTGTTCCTTTTTCAGAGAACATGAGTTATTAACTTCTGTCAGGACCTAAAGACAAGTTCAAACAAAATCTTAAAAAGTGGATCTGGAGAAAATGACCAACCCTGCCTTTAACAGACAGGCCTATTCTTATTCTTATTATTACAATAGTAGAAACATGTTCATGCAAAACAAATCGACATTCAAGTGTAAGGATCAGGTCAGGAGTTACATTTTGTAGATGAATGATTTAGTACACACACACGCACACACACACACACACACACACACACACACGATGAGATAAACATAGAGATTCATTTAATTTATGCGCTTCATTGTTACACATTCCTGATCCTGCTATTCCAGCCTGTATCTGACGGTATTAGTTATGAGTATCAGATCAGTGCATCCCTCACAATCTGTCGTTCTGGTCTCAAAAAAAAAACATTCTAATTTACTGTTAAAACTGATTCAGTCACAGTCTGGAGTATTTGGAATAACAACCGCCATCTTTTAGCTGCCCGACAATGAGCCAGACGGAGGGAAAGGAAAGGCGTGCGTCTATTTTTCATCTGTTTCAAGAAAGACAAGATCGACAGAATCATCAGTTTAGGCACATTTTCAATTTGGAGCCCACAAGGCTGAGAACGCACAACAAACAAAAGACTCCTGTGTGCTCAGAAACAGCATCCACAATACTTCAGAATCAAAATCCTTCATGTGAAATGAAGTTCAATAACAAGAGAGCATCATCTCTATCCGTCGCTTTTAAGAGGTGTGTTTAACTGTTGAATCAGGCATGGAGTGAATCACACACTCGTAATGATAAGCAAATAAAAAAAAGTGCTGTATTATTGATTGTAAGATGTGAACTGTGTCAGCCCACATCTGAGAGTCCCCTCCGGCTCTGTCTGCAGGGACACTTCCACCACGTCACCACTGGCCTTTAGCTGTCTGTGTGACACACACACACACACTGGTATTCATTATACATAATCACTCATTAGTATACACTTTAGGGTTGATTTAATGCAGTGACTGACCTCCTTTTAGACCCAGATGAGTCAGATAGTGTGATTATATATTCGCTCTGGGGCTCTGAGGCTTTATCAATCACAAAATAGCACGCTGTATTTTTTTTGTTTCGTATTTTGTGTTTTCCTGTAAGTCACCAGAGAGGATGAGGAAATGGAAGTGTTTACTGATGGCCATTCAAAGGGATTTACTGCAAGCTGACTTGACGGCTGTGGCAGAAGCAGAATGTTTGCCATGATTTCCTGCAGAGAGAAAGAGAGAGACACACACGGAGAGATTAGAAGAACATCAGGCTCTTCTCGGTTTCAGTCACTAGTTATTATTAACATTTCAGCAGCAGAAGAATTATGTCAAAAACAATCAAAATACAGAACTTGAATTAAGTCTGAAAGGCCAAGACTTCTTCTGTTTCCCTTTTTTTAAAGTGCTAGATCTAGAAATGCTAGATCTATGCTGTTAATGTTGAGTTCTTGCACATATTGGTCATACTGGGAATTTCATCTGACAGAGACAGGTTACTTTTGGCAGAGGGGAAAGTACCGGTCGTTTCAAATTCATCATCTTTATTAGAATCCACAATCGGCTGTGGATCAGTGGTAGAGATAGTCTTCTGTCAACCGCAAGGGCCGGGGTTCGATCCCCAGCTCCTGCAGCCACATATCCAATGTGTCCTTCAAAGTGTCCTCTTCAAAGTAAACGAGGGTTGAGAGTATTTTTTTAAAATACATTTTCACCTGAGTGTGATCTGATGATGTAAGAGACTGAGGCTCTGACGCACAGATTGTCGAGTACTTGGGGTCGATTTAAGGGGTCACCCCTAGTTGGTGATACAAATCTAGAGTCATAAGATGTAGATTAATTTAGCCGTTATCGTCTCCCTTAGAAGAGAAATGGTCTGTGGGTATTTTTAGAAAACACAGTTGACGTAACGGCACAAAAGTACAAATAGATAGATAGATAGATAGATAGATACTTTACTGATCCAGAGGGAAATTTAAATCATCCAGTAGCAGGTTACAAAGACATGACATGAAACATCTGTTACAAATTAAACCACAAACCCCCCCCCATACATATATATGAATAAAGAATATTTAAGAATACCCCTAGATGAATCAAAATGCTTTTTAGCAATGTTTAAAAAGAATAAAATTATCAAAAAACAGACATTAAATAACAGTCAGTGCAAAACATTAAAGGTGTGATTTAAATAATTGTGAGGTGAATCTATAAACAACAGAACAAAACACATAAGAACACTAAATGTTCCCTTCAGTACACGTCAGTAAAGAAAAATGTCATCATGGTCTTGAACCTGTACGGTGAACCCGGTGACACGTGTTCATGTTATCCACACATCAACACGTGTGTGTGTGTGTGTGTGTGTGTGTGTGTGTGTGTGTGTGTGTGTGTGTGTGTGTGTGTGTGTGTGTGTGTGTGTGTGTGTGTGTGTGTGTGTGTGTGTGTGTGTGTGTGTGTGTGTGTGTGTGTGAGTGTGTGAGTGTGTGAGTTAGCACTTGAATCATAGTGTTTTGATTAGCACCTTGAATTAGCATCCACCGTGAAATTAGCGACCTACTCAGCAGCCTCAATTATGTGCTTGACACGCTCGTTGACCGCTCTCACACCCGAGTGTTTATGCGCGTATGGTTGCAGTTTAATGCGCCTGGAAATAATCTTGAATCAGAGAGATGTGCGAGGATAATGCAGGTCAATAAATCATTATCTCTCTCTCTCTCTGTGTGTGTCTGCAGGAGAACGCCGTGAACGGGGATCACCTGTGGATGGAGACGAGTTGTTCAGGAGAGCTGTGTTATCTCGGAGAGGACACGTGTCTGCTGAAGACCGCAGTGAGTATATACACACTGAACACTACTACTCCACTACTTGATTCATTCCACATGAAGCGCTTTATTCACGTGTGAACGACCTGATATTTCTCAGTATTTAAAATCGAAATGGTAGGTCGTGTTGATCCAAGAGTGCGGAAAGAGAACATGATGTACTCCTCTTGGATGAAATGCGGCTGAATGTTGTTCAAATATTTTAAACGGGATGAAGCGTTCTCATTCAGACGTGTCTTTGAGTCTTTAAAGCAGCCAGACAGACAAAACAGGAAGTGAACACAGTGATGCAGAGCTGTGTGTGAAGGTGAAGTCTCTCTCTCCTTCCACACACATCTCTGGCAGAACAACAGCTAAGTAATAACCTTTCACTCTGACAATGATATAATGACACCTCTGCACATTTCCACTGTCTGTGTGTGATTACAGCGAGAGCTTAAGAACACGGGGAAGGAAAAAAAAAAGAACACTCGCTTAAATCTCTTTCTGTCGTGTGTTTAATAAGATAAATATTCCATCAGAGCTGCCATCTGGCGCTACTTAGCCGGGACGAAGCGACCTCGCTGGAATCTCAGATTACTCTTGACACAACAGTTGACATGAGCGAGCACGTTCCTACCTGTGCTGAGAGAGATACGGCGGGTTTACACTCAGCGCTGAAATTCACGAGAGATTCAGGCTTTAAAAAAAAAAAACACACTTTCTGTCGACTCTTTGAATAAAGTCTCACAGACGTTTTGCAGCGAGACTCTCAGGTGGGCCCGACCAACATGGGATTTTGTGTGCAGATATCTACATTTGGTAGGAAAGAAACCAGTTATATATTGGCCGTCATCTTTCTTAGGCCCTGTGTCCAACTAGGGTGTTTTTCTGAGCTCTCCGCCTTTTTTTGTGCGGCTGCTCCGAGCGCTTTGAGTGGAAAACTAGCTACATCAGTGTCTTCTTTTAAAATCACTTTTAAAAACACATTTTTATCATAAGGCCTTCTTATAATCCTTGTTTCATCCATGATGTTTTATATGTTTTACTGTTAACTTTAGCCGATCTCTGTCTCGGTTTGTTTCTCTTTCCTCTGTTAATTGGACTGTTGTTTTATTTTTCATGCTTTTCTAATAGGATTTTATTGTTGTGTATTTGACTGTTGGGATTTTTTTTCTTCTGTACAGCACTTTGTGACGTTTGTTTTGATGAGTGCTTTATAAATAAACTTTATTAGATTATTATTATTAAAAAAAACCTCTTTGTGTGGAGGTTGCATGTTCTCCCTGTGCATGCGAGGGTTCTTCCTCCCACAGTCCATGCTCGTTATCTTAATTGTCTCTAAACTGGTGCCAGTGCGAGTGTGGCTGCTTGTGTCCCTATATGTCAGCCCTGTGATTGGCTGGTGAACAGTCCAGGCTCCCATGACCCAGAAGGGAAAAAGCAGTATGGATAAAATGGATGGATGGATGATATTCATTGAAGGCAGAAATCCCTTTATTTTCCTTTCCTCCTAATTTAGTCGTTGTCTAAACATTAGCACAGGTGAACAGTTGTGCAGGTCAGCCCATTACCCTCAGAAGCATCAGCACTGACACAACAACAGATAATTTAACTGCAGCGTGATTACCTTCTTTCATTTGAGTCGTTACTGAGGAAGGAAATGAGAGACGCTGTAAATGTCAAGGTGTGTACTTAAACAGTGCAGTGTCAACATCCCACCTGGAGCTTTTAAACTTAATGAGACGATGAGAGGATAGTTTGACATCTCTTTGGTTGTCATAGTGTGTCACCTGTGTGTCAGTCACCTGTGTGTCAGTCACCTGTGTGTCAGTCACCTGTGTGTATTCCTGCCTTGGTGTTTGTTTGTTGTGTATCTCATCGCTCTCTCTGCTGTGTGTCTGTTTGCTCCTTTAAGAAGTCGGCCCCCAGGAGGAAATGTGCTGCCTGTAAGATCGTCGTTCACAACGGCTGCATAGAGCAACTAGAAAAGGTATGCCATGCCACACACACACACACACACTAACACACACACACGCACACACACACAGCACCACAACTATTCCTAAAATAATGTAGGTGGCTTACGAAGCAAAAAACACACTTTGTTTGTTTGTTTTTGTTTCTCTGTCTCTCTCCAGATTAACTTCAGATGCAAGCCGACCTACAGAGAGGGAGGATCCCGCTGCCTCAGAGATGTGAGTGTGTGTGTGTGTGTTGTGTGTGTGTGGGTGGGTGGGTGTGTGTGTGTGCATAACTACATACATGCAGGAGAGGAAGAACTCCTGCAAATATCCTGTTTATTTTCCATCTTGAATCTTTCTCTCTCTTGCAGCAGAACGCACTGAGACATCACTGGGTTCACAGACGAAGACAAGAGGGGAAATGTAGACAATGTGGAAAGGTACACACACACACACACACACACACACACACACACACACTCCTACATCAAAGACGGTTATTGTTGTTGAGACTTACCTGAGTGTGTCTGTGTTCGTCTCTGCAGAGTTTTCAACAGAAGTTCTTCCACAGTAAAGAAATCATCGCCATCAGTTGTTCCTGGTGTAAACAGGCTGTGAGTAATAATAATAACTTTATTTAAACATCACCACTAGAAACAGATGATTACAGAGGGCTTTGACAGACAAAGATAAGGACAGAGAATAGTTTATACAAGTGAAGACTGAAATGCAAATACAAGAAATGCACATAAACGGAATAAAAGGGAGAAAACGAGCAGATATGAAAATGCAGCAGACGTTATAGAGCATTACATTTAGAGATGGCGGGTCTGTCGTCTCTCAACTGGTAGGCGTGGGTTCGATTCCCACTTCCTGCAGCAACATGTCCGATGTGTCATTGGGCGACACTCTCAACCCTAAGTTTCTTGTAAAAAGCAGTTTGAGTAGATCTTGAATAATAGAACATTAAGATCATTTTTTTATGGTTAAGGTAGCCGGCTCTGCTTTGTGTCAAATTGCAATAAATGAACCATTTTAGGGACAGAGACACTTTGTTTGTCAGGCTTTGGACAGTCATGGTGCAGATGGAAAAAAATGTCTGATTATGAAGTGATGAATAAATCTAAGAAATATTAACAAGTTTTTATTTTTTTACCCACAGTTCCACAATAAGGTGACGTGTTTCATGCTGCATCAGATTGAGGAGCCGTGTTCACTGGGGGCCCACGCTGGAGTCATAGTACCCCCCTCCTGGATCATCAAAGTCAGGAAACCACAGGTGTACACACACATGTTTACACAAACAACACACAGACACACACACTCTCTGATCACGGGTTTTACCTCACCGGGTTCAGTTTCAGTCGTTCAGTGCGATGTGACAAGCTGATGTTAATCTAAATTTAAAGTCTAGAAGAAGCCGCATGTCAGAAGCTGTGTGTGTGTGTGTGTCTTTGTGTGTGTGTTTGTGTGTGTGTGTGGGCGGGGGGCTCTGATCTGATATGAGCTGACACACGTCTGATCGGTCTGAGAGAACTCTGAGTCTGCGTCCACGTCATCACACACACAAAAAAAAACACAGAAACACAAACTCACCCATATCCTTCAGTCACATGCTTTATTGCACTTTTAATTACCATCACAGGGGGCATGGTGACAGTGAGCTAACCAATGAACTCTCTCTCTGTGTGTGTGTGTGTGTGTGTGCGTGTGTGTGCGTGTGTGTGCGTGTGTGTGTGTGTGTGTGTCTGACTCTAGAACTCACTAAAGAACTCTGCGAGGAGAAAAAAGCGGACATCCTTCAAGCGACGGACGAGCAAGAAGGGACTGGATGTAAGTGACACCACAACAGACTCTGACTGTTCACGCTGTGTTTACGTCCTTTACTTTTATACACGAGGTGTTTGGGTCGACATTACAGCTGCAGTCATGTGTATGTGAAAATGAACTGCTGAAGGATTACAGTTGAGCTACTCTGCTTATGGATGTTTCCTTGTTATTGCTCACCTTTCTGCATATTCCCTGTTTCGTTTCTCTAGGAGTCAAAATGGCGTCCGTTCATGTTGAAGCCCCTCCCCTCTCCTCTCATGAAGCCCATCTTGGTGTTTGTCAATCCCAAGAGCGGAGGCAACCAGGTGTGACGACCCTTTACATTTTTGTCTCTTTGAGACGCCTTCAAGCGTCCAAAGTTCCCGTAAACTACCGGTTGTTTATTTTTCAATGTGGGCCTGAAGGATATGAGCCGATGGGATAACGACATGATACTTCTGTGATTTTTACATCTATCTAATGTTCTTCATGTTTTACACAACAACCATGTTTACAAAATGAATTAAAAAAAAAACAGTTTTAATCTACTAAATTAGCATCAGTTAATCTGAGGGTAGCTACCTTTAGCTTCATGAAAACACGACCTCTATCCAAAAGTTTAAATGTTCCTGTGTCGAGGGGAAAGGCATTGCTTGTTCATAGAAAATAATTGGGTTAAATTCAAAAGTTTGGCCATGATGTGTTGATTGCAAATGCTTGTTGCTAATTTACGATGGAATTGCGGCTAAACGCAAAGCCCTGGTTCTGTGAGCGATGAATTCAGAGAACACTTCTTCTATGTAAGGGCGACAAATTACAAGAAAAATAAAACGAATGAGAGTTTGATTGTGTTTTAGTCCACTGTGACATTTAGTGTTTCTCCAGTCTAAGTGTTCCTTTCTCTCTGTCTATAAATCATTTTCAGTCCTTGTAGAAATGACTCATTTTATGTGTGTTGCTAAAACTTGCAAGTAACCTCCCTCTACAGAAGAGATGTCATCATGACACTTTCAGATATTAGTAAAAAAAAAAAACGTCCTTTAAACTCTACGTTTAAAATCTTTGTGCTGTTCGGCGTCTTACAGCATTATCTCGCTTCAGGAGTTATTACATCCTGCGACGCTGCCAACAACAGAACGTTTAATTAGCAGGACGTCAGCTCAAACGGGATTACTGTCATCAGATAAAGAGAGTCGCAGCTGACGCATTCATATTGTAGAGATTCTGGATTTGATAACAGCAGAGAGAATAGTTTCAGATTGTACGGTTGCTGTTAAAGGACACCTTGTAATCCAGTGTGTGTGTGTGTGTGGGGAGGTATCTGTATCACCTCTCTGTGTGTCTCTCTGCAGGGTGCCAAGGTGCTACAGATGTTCATGTGGATCTTGAACCCTCGACAAGTCTTCGACCTGTCACAGGGCGGGCTGCGGGAGGCGTGAGTACCCTTCAGTTGTGACAGTGTTTGGCTTTATTAAAAAGTCACCACCTCTTTTGACAGCCTCAGAGGACGGACCGACTTAAGTCGCTGTGCTTGTTTATGTAGGAAACAGTTCATGAGTGTTGAAGAATGCGTAACTTAAGAAATGTATCTGCGTGTGTGTGTGTGTGTGTGTGTGTGTGTCATTTTTAATTACAAGCTGTCTGTAATGTAAAAATATGAAACAACAGAAAACAAACAACAACAAAAAAGCGATAACATAGAAACACTGGCTGCCAACACGAGTCCAAATGTTGCAAAAAAAAGTGGATCTCAAGAATTCTTTATACAATCCATCAATCATTGTACACTTCTATCTTCATTTCACATCCAATTATTTGCAAAAATGAACTACAAGGGGTTTGAAAATGATCTCTTATTTAAGCACTCTGCTCATGATTTGAGCAATTTTCAACTCGCACAAATTACAGCCACTCAACTTCAATCAGCGCTATTTTTCACCTGAATAGAGCCTCTTTCATTCCACAACCAGACCTCCCTTTGCTTTGTGCTCTTTGTGAAACACCAGGTTGGAGTTGTATCGTAAAGTGCCAAATCTGAGAATCCTGGCCTGCGGAGGCGACGGCACGGTGAGAGACTCTGCCCCTGCTAGGTTTTCACATATTGTATATGTTACGGCTGCTTACACTGTGTGCGTATGTCTCACAATAGGTGGGGTGGATCCTGTCCACTCTGGACGAGCTGCAGATGAACCCTCAGCCTCCGGTCGCTGTGCTTCCTCTGGGAACGGGAAATGACCTCGCCAGGACGCTCAACTGGGGTGGGGTGAGTTCGCAGCCTTGACTTCTGAGAGCGACAGGACGCAGCGGTGTCTCCTCCCTGAACTATTTATTTACAAGTCTCTTTTTTTTTTTACATTAAGTTCATTTCATGTATGCACAACATGACATGGTGTGACATCATGTCTCTGTCGAATATGCAGCTTCAACCACAAACATCATCAGCCAAACAAGGATGAGTATCAATACCCAGTTTAAATAAATCAACCTTTTTAACCTCCCCAGCGCCCCCTCAGAGACTTAACAGAAAATCTCCCCCACATTCCAGGAAGTGTACCGCAGTGTTCTCCTTTCCTGCATAACTCATCCTCCAAACCCTGAAAACCAGCCTCTGTGTGACGTCTCCCATGCGCAACGCGTCCAGTAAAGATAACAGAGGAGTCGCAGAAGACAGATTGATGACGTTAGAAACGAGCCGGTGAACAAACTCTGAGCCTCAAGCTGCTAAAAAGTGAAATATTTCTCGATACACAGTTTTTTTTCTCTCCAGATTCTTTTGCTGTTTTCAAGATTTCCATAAAACTTTGGATCTCACTTATGTCATCCTCCAACCTCTTCTAACCCGCTCTCCGAGGGCGACAACACTCACAAGCTAAAAACCCCGAGTCTACCTCGTCCGTTAAGGTTGAGGTGTCTGCAGCAGGTTGTTGAAGCTTTTAAACATTAAAATAGAAAGCATCATCGCTCTGTAGGAAGGCACTTAAGTCTCTTTAGTTGGTGAGAAGCTGAAGCACCAAGAATCTGGCCCCTGACACACACACACACACACACACACACACACAGTTTCACTTTGCATAACTGCAGTGGAGAAAGAAGAGACCTTTAGCAGCTCCCACATTCTTCTTCCATTAGGATTCTTTCGAGCACTTATGTGGGCTCACAGCAAAGATAACGCAGCAAACACGAGCTGCATGAGTCAAAAAGCCCGAGTCAAAACATGATTTTTTTCTGATGATGTTGCACTTTTTATTCACTGGATCTGTTCATAGAAATGTTACAGTCGCGTTCAAATTAGTACAAATCATGTTTTTTTTTGGTTTGCTGTGTCTTCATGTGGTGGAGTGAGTGAAAGCATGCACGGTGCAAAATGTTAGATCACGTGAATGACTCTGCAGGATTGGAGGAGCACAGATCTGATAAAGTCCATATAGAGAGAGAGAGAGAGAGAGATGCTGTGAGCGAGGAGGGAACATTCATATCTACTGTGTGTGTGTGATTAGTGTAATTAGTGTGTCCTTTTTGTCCTCTGTTTGTGACTGAAGGGTTTATATCCATTATGTCTCCTGCTCCCCTGCTACTCTTTCTTTCCTTTCCTCCCAATTTGTCTTCTTCTTTTCCTTTCCTTTCCTTTCCTTTCCTCCCAATTTGTCCTCTTCTTTTCCTTTCCTTTCCTTTCCTTTCCCTTACATTCCTTTCCTTTCCTCCCAATTTGTCCTCTTCTTTCCTTTCCTTTCCTTTCCTTTCCTCCCAATTTGTCCTCTTCTTTCCTTTCATTTCCTTTCCTTTCCCTTCCCTTCCTTTCCTTTCCTTTCCTTTCCTCTCCTCCCCTCCCAATTTGTCCTTTCCTTTTCTTTCCCTTCCTTTCCTCTCCATTAATTTCCTCTCCATGTACTTTTTAGCTTTCCTTCTTTCTTCCTTTAATCTTAATCTTCACTTTCTTTTCTTTTCCTTTCATCCTCTAATCATTCATTTCCATCCTTTCCATTTCTCATGTTATTCGTCCTCCACTTCCCACCTCTGTCCTTATTTTCCTTTTCCTTCACAACTATTTACTTTGCACCTCTCTAACACCTTTTTCTCTTCTCTTTCTTTTCTTTCCCTCTTCTTCCTCTCCTGTCTCGCTGACACTCTGTTGTGTTACTCACCGGTTCATCTGTCCTTCCTCTCTCTCGGTGTGAGTGTGAATGTCCCTGTGACGCACCCTGTGTCCAAGTGTGTGTGTGTGTGTGTCTCTGAGGAGGCCCTGCTGATGAGTGCTACTATCATCAGATTGCTGTGTCCTTGTGTGTGTGTGTGTGTGTGTGTGTGTGTGTGTGTGTGTGTTTGAGTCCTTGCTACACTGATTTCCTGACCCTGTCCAGAGGTGAGGCGGTGAATAAAAATCAGACAAAATACTGTCCATTTAAGAGTCCTGATTGGAAAGGAGGTGAAGTGATGTGGATTGAAAGTTGAATAAAACGGGAGGAGTACACTCTGCTTGGTGTGTGTGTGTGTGTGTGTGTTGGGCTCTTGTTAACGGGTAGATGAGACGGAGAGAGTGAGAGAAGAAGAAAGAGAGAGAGAGGCGCCTGAGTGAACAGAAAGAGGGATGCAGGTGGTAATTTAGCATCTCTTTTTTCCACATATATTCTCCTGTCATCCATCTGTGCCTCTCTACTTTCTCCTCTTCTTTTTTACCAGCTTAACATTCCTCTCTCTCTCTCTCGCTCTCTCTCTCTCTCTCTCTCTCTGTCTTCTTCTCTGCAGGGTTACACAGACGAGCCAGTGTCCAAGGTTTTGTGTCACGTGGAGGACGGCTCAGTTGTGCAGCTCGACAGGTGGAACCTTCTAGTGGAGAAAAGCATCACACAGCCGGAGGAGGGCACGCAGAAGGTCAGAGGACTGCTTAGCTTGGGACTCTTTCTAAATGCATCCATGAGAGTGTTGATTGACATGGATCAATCACTTCATCCTCCGAGGTTCAATCTTTTATTTAAGGGGTTCATATTTTATTTAAGGCTCAAGTTGTCAGAACTTTATTCACTTTTTTGTCACAGTATTTTCCTGCAGCTCATCCAACTAGCTTCTAATTGTTCTTTCATTTCCCTCCTCTCAAAATGTTACACAGTTTTGCTGAAGAGAAGTTCGTTTTGGGCCTTTTTGCTTTAAACAGGAGACAGGAAATGTTGGGAGGAGCAGGTGGGGATGACGCGACGAGGACCACGGCCTCCACACTGTACAAGGGGCACGCGATGTAACAGCTAGACTATCAGACACCCCAGTTTCATATTTCTAATTTTCTTGAAAAATGTCCAATGAATTTCCCTTAAACCTTAATACCAATACCTCTTACCAATTTATCCTTCATTTATATGAAGCTATGAGTTAACCAAAGTGTGCTAACATTAGCCTGTTAACATAACAATGAAGGTCACAGGCAACTGCAGCTCGAGCTAAGGACAATTTTGTCCGCTGCTTGCACTTAATGGTGCTTAATAATTGATAACTCCTTCATGGGAATGTGTTTGGAGATGGGGTTGGAGGTGTGAGGAGAGCAGAGGCTTCAGAATAGCGGAGGTGTCACCGAACATAAGGCTGGAAAATATATCGAGTTTTTAAGATATATCGATATATTTTCAAACAAGATATAGGGTAAGACAATATCATTAATATGGATGTAGTTTATGTTGCATTAAAATAACTTTACAGAGGTGCCAGGTCATCTTTTTCTCATCTCACTGATGACTGACTGTCTGCTCCTCCTCTCTCTCTTTCTTTTGTTGTATTTAAGGAACATTTTTATTTTATAATATTACTTTTTAAATTCACAAGCACGTAGTTTATTTTCCCATGTGTTTTCACTGTTAATAAAAAACATATCGATATATATCGAGTATCGCCATTCAGCTAATCAATATTGAGATATGAGTTTTGGTCCAGCCCTAACCAAACAGCAGTTTGTTTTGGTTTCATGCTGATGCTCGAGGGCGACATCTACTGGATCAAAAAGTCGCATATTCTTCCTTTAATTGTAATTTTCTCGTGCAAACCCCTCAGAATATGAAGCAGAGCAGCAGTAAACCAGCTGTTAGCCCTGACGCAGCTGTGTAATCGAGTTGTTACAGGAATGAATCATTAAATTACCCTCCCAACCTTTCAGTGGTTGATTGATCAATTAAACAATCAATAGGTTGGTGGTCCTGACACTGAATGCAGTGGAACAACAATAGAATAAGTCAGTGTTTGTTGTGTGGAGGTGATGAAGATCCAGACTAAAACATATATTAGAAAATGTGAACATGAGTATCACTGGGTTCCCGTGTGAAGTATATTTGAGGTGTGATCTGTGTGGATACATTGTGAAACACTCACTTCAGTATTTTTATCTGCGTCCTCAGCTGCCTCTCAACGTGTTCAACAACTACTTCAGCCTGGGCTTCGATGCTCACGTCACCCTGGAGTTCCACGAATCCAGAGGTCTCTGAAATCTATTTTAATGTCTTATTATTATTAACGTTTCCCTCTGCATTATCTCTATTTATGTTCCATTAACTCCTCCACTTTCCTCTTAATGCATCCCACTCCGCTGAAAGCTCCGCTGAATAAATGAAATATTAAAAAGGCGCTCGTTCATTCATGCATATGCACCGTCGTACTCCGCTTCAACTCTACAACTTATTTAATGTATTCTGTTTTTCTCTTCCTCTCTGATCGTGTCTTTCCAGAGGCCAACCCGGAAAAGTTCAACAGTCGCTTCCGCAACAAGATGTTCTATGCAGGAGTGAGTGTTCCTGCGTATTTACACTCGCACAAACTCACACAGAGCTCATACAGGACGTGTCGTTTTCTGTAAGACTCTCAGATTCCCAGAGTGTTCAGCAGCTGAGAGGATCGCACAACTCCAAGGGAAGGAAGGAAGTTAGGAGGAATGAAGGACTTTTAAGATCTGCTCACTGAAGGAGGGACGGGGTTAGGATAAAGTAGGTCGTGTGAGGGATCTTTAAAGAGGAACATTTTTATTTTCTGCAATAAAAAGTTTCAATTTTCAGCCTTAAGTTGGGTCGTTTTATTTAACTTTCTTGTAATCTCATATGCTTTAGTAAACATTTAGAAATCATGTTTTTCTTGATCATTTTGTTAACAAAAATCCAAGAACAACACAACACAGTGAAGGCAAACAGTCATCTCTACGTCCTGCTGTTGTTCTGATGGAAATACATGTCCACGTGATAGTGACTTCATTATCACCTCTCAGGGTTAAAAACACTTCTTTCTTTTTTTCTCCATACTTTATTAATCCCTGAGGGGAAATCCGGGGTTGACACTGTAATTGAAGGACATGATACTCTCGTACAAAGCCCTGAAATACTCACAAACACTAACAGGACCTGCACTAATGGAGAGAAGTCAGAGTGAGGGGGCTGCACACAGGGGGGGCGCCCCTGGGCTGTCACCTTGCTCGAGGTCACCTCAGCAGTACTCGAGGGAGTGAACTGGCCCCTCTCCACCTGTTCTCTAGTCCGTACCAGGACTTGAATGGGGATGCCGCCCCAATCCAATTAATGCTAAGAAACAATTCCCTGCTCACAGATTAAGTTCATTCCTTCATTTTTTTAAGACCCTGTGTTTCCGAGAATGTCTTAAATCTGTAAATCATGATTTAAAATAATTTATTTAGACATTAAATCCAGCGTTTGTACTCCTTCGGTTTGTAAGTTGGAAAAGAGGCATGTAGGAGATTCATGTTTTTTTAATGAAGGTAATGTAATGATTCTGTTTAATTATGTACATTTCTGTGTGTGTGTGTGTGTGCGCCCGTGTGTGTGTGTCTTCACAGGCCGCGTTCTCCGATTTCCTCCAGAGGAGCTCCAGGGATTTGTCCAAGCACGTCAGAGTAGTGGTGAGTGTTAACACACACTCTCAGCCTGTATCACTTCTCCGTGTCGACATGTCTGGGCAGCAGGTCGGCCGGTTGATTACAAGAAGTCTTCCTTGAGCTGCTCGTGTGACGCCCCACCGCGCCGGAGTGTCCGTCCTTCAGAGAGAGACACTGAACAGAGCCTTTATACCGCTGCTGACCTCTGACCTCTGTGCAAGGACAGAAACAATCGATTTCATTGTCCATTCTGCTGCCTGTTTAGACGACAGTGACGAGCGTCCTTCACAAGTGTAAACAGTTTGGTGTGTGCAATAAAGGAGAATACTTGAGTTGTAATTCTGAGTGTCTGTCTCTCCCAGTGTGATGGTACCGACTTAACTCCAAAGATCCAGGAGCTGAAGTTTCAGTGCATCGTGTTTCTAAACATTCCCAGGTAGGTGAATAATCCTGCAAGGAAACAGAAAAGTCAGCACACTCAAATGTCCTTTTGAGAATCTGTGTAGAGCAGCAGCTGACGCGTTCCAGCAAACAGCCGTCATCAGCGCTGATGAAGGCTGTGTGCTGAAACGTTAAAGGACACCGAGTGTGCTGACTTCTGTGTTTTCTTGTAAGTGTGTTTTTGCGCATGCTCTTTTTTTCTGCTCGGTGAATAAACGCAGTCCCTGATTCTGTTCATGTTTGTGACGAGTGAGTGTTTGACTGAAGTTAGAAACATGAAGACTAAAAAGAGACCCTTAAGAAACCTCTGTTTTGCAGGTACTGTGCTGGCACCATGCCGTGGGGAAACACAGGGGACCACCGAGACTTTGAACCGCAGCGCCATGACGACGGCTGCATCGAGGTGATCGGCTTCACCATGGCCTCACTGGTGAGAGAATAAATATGTAAACACTGATTAAAGAAGAGGTGAAAAATGGGACCACAGAAGCAAGGAAAAACAATGCAGATGTGATCTGTCACATAGCGAGTGTAAGCGTCTTTCTCGTCCACCAGGCGGCGCTACAGGTTGGCGGACATGGAGAGCGGTTGCACCAGTGCAGAGAAGTCGTCCTCACTACCTACAAGACTGTACCTGTGCAGGTGAGCACACACACTCACCAGCATCACAACATGCTCAGTTACGGGACTGATTGATTACAATGCAGGTTTGTGAATAATCAAAATCAGTGCACCTTAAAAAAACAGACAAAACAGAAGATCAGAAGACCTGCAGCTTTTTCACAGTTTATTTCTGACCTTTTTGAACATCTCCATGAACAGAGACATTTAAATCTTTGAAATTTTGATCTTTGACCTTTGACCTTTCCCTCGAAATGAGTCAAAAATGTGTGAGGTGAAGCAGAATGTATTGTATGATAACTGCAAACTGGAAGGAAGATATTAAAAACAACCCACCGAGGCCGTGCTCTTCTCATCACTCCGCCTCTGTTTAATCATTTGCTTTTAACATCGATCCCTGTGTGTGTGTGTGTGTGTGTGTGTGTGTGTGTGTGTGTGTGTGTGTGTGTGTGTGTGTGTGTGTGTGTGTGTGTGTGTGTGTGTGTGTGTGTGTGTGTGTGGTGTGTGTGTGTGTGTGTGTGTGTGTGTGTGTGTGTGTGTGTGTGTGTGTCTGTGTGTCTGTGTGTGTGCTTGAAGGTGGACGGAGAGCCGTGTCGCCTGGCTCCCTCCACTCTCCACATCTCCCTCCGAAATCAGGCCAACATGGTCCAGAAGAGCAAGAGACGCACCTCTGTCCCCCTGCTTAACGAGTGAGTCACTCTCACACACACACACACACACACACACACACACACACACGCTCATGTGGAGACAGGGGAACTAGGCTAGCAGTGTTGTAAAAGCCCGGCTTGCACTGAGTGAGTCATACAGTCTGTTCAGTGGGAGCTGACATTCACTCCCCTCAACGTCCCACATCTCTGATCAGCTCGCCAAAAACACACAATCAGAGGAGCGATCTGTATGTATGTCCACTCACATTAATCAAAAATCAGAAACACCCAGGGGGGTTCCTCCACTGACACAGTGACATGTTACACTCTGTGGTTCCCCCCCCCCTCTACTTACTCTATATCAGCTGAGGAAGGGGAATCAAAGGAGACACTTATTGATCTGTCTCCAGGAGGAAAACCACAGCACTCTATTAGAAAACAATGTAAGAATGGGAGACCATTGATTGTGTAGAAAGATGGATGAAAGTGGAGCCATAACCACCCTCCCCCCCCCATCCCCTGTGTGACGGGGGTGTGGTGAAGCGGCCGTATTGACGTCCCATCTCTTCCTCTAAACAACACATTTAACTTACCGATAAAACGACCCCTCAGGTGGGTACAGTCCACAGCAGAGTCTTTCCTCCTCTACTCTGACAATCTGGAGGACGCTGCAGGAGCCGCTTTCGTCAACAAAGCTGTCAATCGTCGCATTTTACTCCTTTTTATAGAGCATCAAAAAAACAAATCAGAACCAAACTTCTCAGAGAAGTGAACACTCATACACACATGGACCTGACTGACTAATAGAGAAGCTGCACCACAAAACAGCTGATCATTACACTGTTTTAGCTTTTATTTTTATTTTTATTTGGTGTTGACAGAGTAGGAAAGAGAGAGAGTGGGGACTGACATGCAGGAAAGGAGCCACAGGTCAGACTCGATTGGCCGCCTGCTTGGAGGCGTCCATATATAGGGGGCGTGACTTCACCTCTAGGCCATCTGCGCCCTGGATCATAACATCCATCTTTTTATACAGTCTTATGTGAGACTGTGTGGCTACTAACTCTCCTCCATCCTTGTAGCACTAATAACTTTTTCATGTATTTATCTGTGTATAAATGTTGGTCTGATTTTAATAGTTTGTGAACAGGCTGCAGTAAACGTGTGCATGTGATAAAATCAAACAAACACATAATATATAGAGGATTAACTTCATGAGCTTCATGTTCTGCTGCTGTGCTCTAAGTGTGTGTCCACTTACCTCTGGGCTTCTCTCCTCCTGTCCCTCCTCCTCCTCCTCCTCCTCCTCCTTTTTCATAAACATTGATTATTTATTGTTTTCATTTGTTTACCTTCTCTCCTCTCCTTCGTTTATGTCCTTCCCTCCTGTCTTGTTTCATTTGTTTTACCCTGTTATTCTTTCCATCCTCTCCTCCCCTCCCCTCCCCTCCCTCCCCTCTCCTCTCCTCCCCTCCCCTCTCCTCTCCTCTCCTCTCCTCTCCTCCCCTCTCCTCCCCTCCTCCCTCCCTCCCCTCCTCTCCTCCCCTCTCCTCCCCTCTCCTCTCTTTTCCTCTCCTCTCCTCTCCTGCCCCCTCACCTTGTCTATTCTTCCTCCTCTTTATTTCTTGTCTCCTCATCTTCTCCACTTGTCCTTCGTTGTACCTTCGCTCCCCTTCACCTTCTTCTCACCTCCTCTTCTTTTTTTTTTCTCATTGACCCCTTGTCTCTCCTCCTCTCCTCTCTACCACACACTCCTCCTCTCCTGTGTGTGTTTGTGTGTGTGTTTGTGTGTGTGTGTGTGTGTGTGTATATTTGTGTGTGCGGCGGTAGTATTCAGAAGGTGTGTGCAGCTGATCTGCGCCGCCTCTCTGCTCCCCCAGACTCCTTCTCTGTGTAAGTACCTGCGCCCTCTGTCACTGTATGAGTGTGTGTGTGTGTGTGTACAGATTTATGTGTGTCTCTGGTTCGACTGATATTTGATTCTAAAATAACAGAATACATAGTTTACAAATTAGACATTTTAACACAAATGAACAGCCATGTTCAGCCCAAGTAGGAATGAAATTTTACAAAACTTCCTGTTTTTTTTCTGCCCATGAAATCCAGTTAACCTCAGCCTTGTGTAGTTCCTCCTTTGCACTTTCCTGCAGGTGGTACAAGTCTCATATGTAGATCTTGCTTTTAACATTTCTATTACAATTAAAAAAAACACATATACACAAATACATAAAACCCCCAAAAAGTACATTAAAAGACTACAAGACACAACCTGCAAAATGAAAGCATGAAAAATGCAGTAATTAAGAAAAACAGACAGAAAGACAGAGATGCCGTTATGATACATAATGCACCTTTGTGTTAAAGACTATAAAGTGACGCATATTGTCGACTGTTTGCAGCAACTTAGCTTCAAAGTTTCACATCGGTCGAACCCGAGTTGTGTGTCGAGTCTCTTTGAATGTCAGTTCATGTTTTATGATGTGTTCATGGACTGTGGGACAGAATGAGTAACTGTGTGGCAGCATGCTGAAGCCTCTCCTCTTCTGAATGAGCCTCCTGTCTCCATGTTCCTGCTGCTGTCGTCCCTTTGCGCTTAACTTTACCCTGAGCTGTGACCTTTAATGACCCCTGCACCCACCTGCACCTGTCCTGTCCCCTCACCTGATGTATGACCCCCCCCCCCCCGATGCATGAATTTGCTTGAGCTTAGAAGAACACTGGAGATGTAAATAATCCCTGATTGTTCCTTTGCCTGTTAGGGTTTGAGCTTTAAAGGCAGGGTTGTTTGTTTATTTATTTATTTTCCCAGCAGCAGTGTTTTGTTTTGGTTTTTTTACGTCTTTCTTTTGCTTATCGCCCACCATGATTCTGACGTCAATAATCTGCCTTCATCAGCCTCCGTCCTCGCTGAAGGCATTGTTGCCCACAATGATCGACTTAAAAATGTGTTGGCCTGCCTCAAACTCAGAAGGAGAGCACAGCCTTTTTTATTTGTATGGTTACATTTTAATACTTCACCACATTTTGCACATCTTGAGATATCGACTAAAAAGTGTTTTTTTTTCCTTGACCTCATTTAAAAAGCATGAAAATGGAAAATCTGAAACAGAAAACACAAGACGGATGAGGAGTTTAATGGTTTTTTGTTCTTATTTGGTGTCTCCGTGTGTGTGTCTGTGTGTGCATGTGTGCATGTGTGTCCTTATCACCACACGTTTGCGGGTGTCTGATATACGTGTGCTCATTTGACATTACATCAGTTGTGTGTTTTTCTTCTCCAGTCCTCATGCAGTTCCTGATCGTCTGCGTCTTCGGGTGAATCGTATCAGCCTGCAGGAGTACGACCGGCTGCAGTACGACAAAGAACGACTACGAGACATCTGTAAGGCTGTGTGTGTGTGTGCGTGCGTGTGTGTGTGAGAAAATGTATATTTTATAGTGACTGAGTTTTTCATCCTTGAAACATCATTTGTTCAGGCCAGGTAAAACTACACCGTAGATGCAATGACGCATTGCATGCTGGTCACTGCTAGCAAAGCTGTCTTGACTCGTATGAATCGCCATGGGAACCAGTCATAATAATGATAATAACTGTTTTTCATATATCAGCTGTTTACAAAGTGCTCTGACACACAAAGCAAAGGCAGAAACTCGGGAATATGCAGAAACATAATGAGTGTCAATAGTCAGAAAGAAGAAATTTAAATTCACCGTGCAAAGAAGGACTAGTGTTTGGTTCTGACTCGGGGGACGGAGAGCAGACCTGTCCCGGACGACCTGAGCGGTCTGGATGGTTCATAGAAGGTCACTAATGTACTTTGGCCCTGAACCATTCAGCGCCTGCTTTCACAGCAAAAACCTGCTCTATGCTGTCTGTCCATCAGCAAACAGCACACACACACACACACACACACACACACACACACACAGTTAGTTACCAGCTGGTGAACATGATGGAGCAACAGGACGTTCAAGAGCTGCATATTCTCAAACAGCACATGATGGAGACGAAGAAAAAAAAAAAAGCTAATAGATGGGAGAACGGATGAACTGTGTCAGAATTCTGTTTCTGCTTTCTTTCGGTTGGTTTGAAGTGTTTGTTTGTGTATTCCAGCCATCCCAGTAGGCATTGTGGTGGTGAGAGGCGACTGTGACCTGGAGACGTGCAGACTCTATATCGACCGACTGCAAGAGGCAAGTTTCCCCCCTTCATCGTTATTCTCATCATAACTTAAAAACCGTCTTCTTCCCTTTACCCTCTCTCCTCTCGCCATCATTATTTCATGACGCTTGGTGCAGCACAATCCCTCCTCCTCTCTGTTAATGTGCTTTATTTATATATTTATAAATGAACACGTGAGCAGCAGCGGTGGGAATGCAGAGCCTTTGTGTCTCATGTTGGAGGGGTGGTGGTGGGGGGGGGGGGGACTAATCGAGCTAACATCTGTGGAAGTTTTTTTGCTCCAAATGCTTTGGCTGTTTGTTAACCTTGAAACCTGTCTGCTGTGCTTGCTAGGACTTACACCAGGCGCCATCTACTGGCCACAGAGTGCACTATCAGGTATATGACTTTTGGGTGTCCCTGTAGAAAAAGTTCAGTTGTAATTATAATCTTCAAATGTGACTTTTTTTTTTTTTTTTCAAAGCCTGTTACTCTGTATACAGTTTAAAATCTTTTTTAATTTAATCTTAAAGCAGTATTTTGCTGATTTTTGTCAAGGCAAGTTTATTTATAAAGCAAATCCTCAGGTCATTCAAAGTGCTTCACACAGGATGTCGAAGGCATCATGACAAAGAGAAAATATGACAGTGATAAAAAAGTAAGCTTGTTGCTTCATTGTCCTGATTGTCTGCTTCTTGTTATCGATGGTTCAGCTGCTCAGAAACAAACTCTTTAAACTTTTTCTCTGTCTGGATTTCTTTCTTTGCTCCCTCTCTCTACAAACTACACTCAGTGTTCACATTGTTGATTTGAAGGTTAAAGGTCAGTGAGGTTGATATTAAAGATCTCAGTGTCCGTTTCTTATCTGCAGGATGAGTGTCGAGGTATTCCCAGGACCAGTTCGACCAGTAGACTCTCTCCAAACTGGAGCTTCCTGGATTGTGAGTGACTGAAACCTCCACGGATAAATTCACTGGAACACAAAGTCACTTTTCACATGTTGATGGAAACAGTAAATTGGAAAGATTACATGAAAAACTTTAATGTGTTCCTTTTTTTTTTTTTTTTGCAGCCACTTCAGCCGACCGCTTCTATCGCATTGACAAGGCTCAGGTGAACACTGTTTCATACCTAAAATAAGAATTCAGAATTCAAAATTAATGTATTCATGTTTTATTTTGGAAGTTGTATTGACGTGCCTCTGCGCTGTATTCGTGTGTGTGTGTGTGTGTGTGTGTGTGTGTGTCTGCAGGAGCACCTCCACTTTGTGACAGAGATTTGTCAGGAGGAGGTTTTCATCCTGGACCACGAAGCTCCGACTGTGAGCCAGGGGTCGTCCACGGGGATGCCTGATCTGGTGGTGGAACCTACTGCTGGGTACGTCAGCATGTAAACGAGACGCTGTAAACACTGTGTGTCGGGCGGACGTGAGATCCCGACGTTGGGCTGACGTTGGATCCAAACTGTAGGCTCGGTGCTGGAGTCGGGATCCGACGTCAGCCCAACGTGGGTGTTTCCATGATTGTTCGCTTTACGATCTCAGCGTCAAAGAAAAACACCAAATCCAAATCCCTAAAACTGAACCCAGATGTTTTCAAACTTTGTGAGATAAAATCACTATAACAGTTTTTTATTTTTATTAAAATCACATTTTAACTCCTTCCTTTTTTCAGCTCTCCCTTGTCATCAGAGGACCAAGGTACAGTCCACACACACACGCACACACACACATCCCTTGTTGCGTGCACTCTTGTCATTTGCGAAATATAATCTCCTGCTGTAATGATGATATCAATGGTTTTAGTTCTTCAAAGACTCGTTCTGGAAATTCTGAAACTTTTAGGAGGTTTTTGTTGCAGCCTTGTGTCCTTTGATCTGTGGCAGTGTGAAGTCTGTTGATCCTGGGACTCTCCAGTATGGTCAACCTGTTGTTCCAGACATGTCCAGACATGCGATCACTCTGTCTACTTTCACTTTTGCTTTAATATTTTTCCTCTCGGACTGTAAACAATACCACACTTACAATAAACAAAGCTCGGTTCACAGTCTATAGTCTAAACCCCCTCCCCCTGTTGTGTCGGCTTTGCAAACCACACTCTGAATCATACTGTAAGTTTGTGCTGCCTTACTTTACCCTCACACACTTTATATTCAGGTATTGTTCTGTAAGGTTTGCTTTGTGTTTCATAGTTAAAATCTCTTTGAATCAGTGACAGAAAACAACAAAAGGAATGTCCTTTAAATAGCTGCCGGTACAAAGCGTGACTCATCAAAACATAAACTTGACACAGTGCTATCAGCTGCTTAGCACATGGTCTAAAGTGCGAAGTACAGGTTTATTCAGGGTGTGTCCAACTCCACCTTTGCTAGTCACTCAGGCTTCATTCATTAATATTTACAGTCTATGGTTCAACAGTACATGAACCGGAAAGCGAGTTGCAAGGCCCAAAGAGATTATTTAACCTCCTTTGGTATTAAAAGGTGATTGTGTGTGTTTAATAAATAAAAATCAGTAACTTCTTATTCCTTTTAAGAAAATGAAACAGGTGCACATGCATCTCTTGCATAAAACAAGTGGGAGAAACCGATCTGCTCATGCACAAAGTTCAAGTACACAACTGGTCTTATAAAGTGTTTAGCCTGGAAAAAAAAAACCTTGATCGAGATTTTTAAAAAGTCTCTTCTTCTGTCTTTAAAAGGAAACCAGATTGTATTGAGCGTAAACACAAAAAATGTTTCATTGTTTAGTAGACAAACAAAAATCTGTAAAAAATGCCTTAACCTTTCTCATAGTGAGTCATCTTCTCTGCGGCAGCCGTTGAAACTGTGACTCTGGGCTGAGATCTCATGATTCTTGTCTGTCTTTGTGTTCACAGCTCTACTTAAAGCAGCCAGCACAGGGGATCTTACTACGGTAAAAAGTGTCACCACACACACACACACACACACCCGTTGCACTTGTTTGTGTCGGCTGGAGTTTCCAAACAACCAAATAAACTAACTTCTTTTTTTCGACTTCTCTTTTTAAACACCTGCTAAAAACATGACTCAGCATTTAAAGTTTTATTTTCCTTATGCATCTCGGTTGTGTCTACTTTAAAGTACCATGGTGTGTAAGCGCTCTGTAACGTGTGCTTAATGTCTCAAATAAATGAATAAATCAGCGCAAACACAAAAATGCCACACTACTTCATTTCCGTGCAAATTTGTGGAAAAGGTCATTTACATTTAGAAAGAGAGAACAGGGAGCGCTGATAGCCTAGCGGTTATATTGCGCACCCCACGTACAGAGGCTATAGTCCTCATTCCTTGTAAAAATAAAAAAAAAGTATTCCTAATCCCTTTGTTCTTTTTCCTGTTTGTGCGCTCAGCTGTCGGAGTGTGTGCATCGAGGCGTCAGCTTGTTGGTCAGAGACTCTGGAGGTTGTTCGGCGTTACACATAGCTGCTCGGAACGGACACACAGAGCTGGTCAGCTTCATCCTGCAGCAGGGTGAGAGAGTGAATCATCCTCATGTCATCTAACCGCTGCTGCATGCTTCATTTTTAAAGTCACATGTATCACACTGTCCACCGTGCATGGTGGGTCAGAGGGGAATTCAAGTGTGTTTGATCAGAGTATCTCAAGCTGTTTGTTCCTGTTTTTCAGGCTCCAAGGTGCTTCTAGATCTGACGGACCGAGAGAAGTATGTGGGGAACTTTTAACTTTTCTTTTGTATTTATGTCATTCCCTGTATGTAAATGCTGCCACAGTACCCACATGGACACATTGCACCACATTTTCCTGCCATCATTTCTTCATCTGGGCACCTTTTTTTGTTTTGATAGAATAAAGTGATAGAATATTTTGTCATATCTTGCTGCTACATCCGCTGTGAATGTGAGGAAACTTTCAGGGCAAGATGTAGCACAACTCTGGATAGTATCAAAGATCTGAAAATCATATTCCAGAGATGTTCTTTACCAAATTTGGGGAAAAAAATATGCAAATATTTTTAGGAGGATTTGCAGGAAAACAAACAGACTTGGATAAAAATCAAAATGGATCCCCTTGACATGTGTGTTTCTGTGTGTGTGTGTGTGCAGAGGGGACACTGCGTTGCACAAAGCCGCCTCAGAGAAGCAGCTCTCCGTGTGTCGTCTTCTGGTGGAGGCCGGGGCGTCGCTCCTGAAGACCAACTTCCGGGTAAACACACGCAGCGCTTTCACACTCCACACACCACAGACCTGCACACACACTCTACAGAGAGCACACACTCTTTACTCCTCAGAATCCAGGACCAGAAAGGAGACTCTCGCCTTCAGGGGGCGGAGCCTATAGGAGTCAGCCACCCAACGTAGTTAGGGACTAAATGGAGACTTGTGTCAACTGTTAATCTAGATCATCACCTTTTGACATCTCGTGTTCCTCCGGGTGGCCTTTAATGTTAACATTATATAGAAACTTTACAACTTTACGAGCTCCATTTGAAGGCAGCAATAAATAGTAAAGAGTAATCAGCTGTCAGATAAGATTAAGAATATTCTTTTTTTTTTATTGTGTTTTTTTATCCACCAGGGGAAAACACCTGCTGAGGAAGCGGAGGGAGACTCAGAGCTCACCACCTACCTGAGCGCCCAACAAAACACATCTTCTGCTCCTCATGAGGACTTAGAGACTGCTGTCTGAGACACACACACACACACACACACACACACACACACACACACACACACACACACACACACACACACACACACACACACACACACACACACTGTGTCTCTCTGGACTCTGCACACACTCAAAACAGACTTTGGATTGAAGCTCCAGAGGAGTGACCTGCTTCAGCTCTGCAGAGGAGATTTTAATGCTATTTATTTGTATTTATTTATTCATATTCTATTTATTGGTTGTGCTGATTGATTGTTTTGATTGGCCGAGTGATTGATTGTCGGACTATTTAACAGTTCAGGATGTAAGTGCACTTTGAGCAGCCGCGTCAGGTGGCGAGTTCACTTGAAGACGTGTCTTTTATTTCAGTCACAAGAAGTTTCTGCGGAGAAGAATCACAAAGACGCACCGTGTTATTCCAGAGCTCATCGTTTACTCTGAGGTTTTATATATTAACCCCATGAAATGTTTGTGCCAAAGACATTACACTGACGCCGTGTCAGGAAATGTTCCCAGAATCCATCACTGTCTCATCAGACACCCAGGACGGATCGCTTTTTATACCAAATTATAACTTTGATGTTTTTATTTATTGAGAAGCTATATTACCGTGTGGAAGGAGAGCTTTTAGAAAGAACAGAATAAAACGATTTATTTCTATCATATGAAACATGAAAATACAAGAAACTGCTGCAAAACAATGACAGGCAACGATTTAAAGTCCAAGAGTTTAAGAAAAAGTGAAAGTTTTTTTTAAGTCAGCTGGATTACACGAGTAGCAGTCTGCACAGGGAGACTTTTCATACAACATGAGTAACACTTTCAGCTTTTAACGCCTCTTAAAAGGCTTCAAATAAAAAAAAAACATCAGGAGGAAGAGAACTCGTTTCTTAATTTTTGGGGATTTTTGTCTTTTTTGTCTCTGTTTATTTTAGAGACAGGACATCTGATAGAGTCAGAAACCAGAGAGAGAGAGAGAGAGGAACGACATGCGGGAAAGGAGACACCGGTCAGACCCAAACCAGGGCCGCCCGCTTTGAGGACATAAGCCTCTGCACATAGGGCAAACACACAAACCGCTAGGCTACCGACCCCCCTGCCGACAGAATATGGTTACCAGATTTGACAAGTTTGGGTGTAATATTTAATTTAGAATAATCATAAAGTATCCAATAGGCTTGGAAAAAAAGAATTCAGGCTCCAGGAGCAGATGGCTTAGCTGTGAGGCCACGTCCCATTTACGGAGGCTGTTGTCCTCCAAGTCGACGGCACAGGTTCAAGTCCGACCTGTGGCTACTTTCCTGCATGTCAGTCGCCCCCCCCCCCCCCCCCCTCTCTCTTGGGTCCAAACATCTTGGGGGGGGGGGAGGTTGAATCTAAACTCTCTTTTCGTCATAGTGTTGTGGCGTGCAGAATTCATCATATCCTTCACGACCACATCAGATTATTTGGAAAGCTCAGATATACACAAACACACAGTAGGTCCTTGTGCAGGTGTTGTTAACGATCAGCTTGTTTTCATTCTTCTGTTTACACCAAACCCCGGTTTGTTTGTTTTTTTTTTTTTAAAGGAAGATTTTAGCATCATGGCTTACTGACGCTTCAGTCTGAATATTTCACCGTGTGTCTGGTACTCCTGACTCGACCAAGCTCCTAACATGCTGAGTGTGTGTGAGTGTGTGTGAGCGTGTGTGAGCGTGTGTGAGCATGTTATAATATGGCCCATTCCATATCAAACCTGATTAGACAAGTTGATGTAAGATGAAACAGTCTCTTCTCGGTGCAGTGTGACCATGAATACAAACTGTGTGGTGATATAACTGTGAGTGTGTGTGTGCGTGCGTGTGCGCGTGTGCGTGTGTGTGTGTGTGTGTGTGTGTGTGTGTGGCATTTATCCAAGAAAAAAGAGGAAGAAGAATCTGAGCCATATTCAATGCAATATGAATGAAGCGATGACGTCTTTTTGCTTTCCTCTCTGATCGTTTACATTACATTAATGTTTTGAACGTCGTTGGCACCGAGGAGTATCGAATGTGCAGTTTTACTTCAGTGCCCGTTGGTTCCATGATTGTCTCGGTTTTTTTTTTCCCGTTTTTTTGTGCATGTTTGTCGATGCATCGATCTTTTAAACAAACCCCGTGCTCTCTTTTTTCTATAACCTGTTGTGAACTACATGTAAACATAAAGCAGTGACGACTCTCGCCCAGGATCTGCAGAGATGTTGAGAGTCGTTATGTAAGGTCTGGTTTTATAAGTACAGTAACACATGTAGTCCAGGTTCAGTTTCAGCCTTTTTGACCACGTTAGCTTTCATTTGTTAATTTCATCCACGCCCTTTCTGCAGAAATAAAAAATCGGAACTAGTAATTTACATATCCCGTATTGTGAATAAGGTCTTTCTCAACATGACAGACAACGCCCTGCTGGCTCCTTCCTTGTTTGTTTTTTTTCTCCACAAATGTTTCTGATGCAGGACTCTTCCTGCGGCTGAGACCTTCCTCTGAGTGTGTGGACGCTTTCAAAAAAAGAAGTAGAAGAAGAAGATTTGAGTGCACTCTCTGTGTGTCGATATTTCCTATGAAGTGACCGAGGTTAAAGCTGGGCCCTCTCTGATCCACACACACACACACACACACACACACACACACGCTTCTCATCACTCAGAAACACGACTGTGTATCAAACTGTGTCTCATCAGCGTTGGTTATGCATGACAGTTTTCTTACCTCTCTGGATTATTTAAAAAAGACAAAAAGGCATTATTGTTGTTTCAACTATTAAATGAATATAAATGATTTCTACCTGAGTTCTCTCTGAGGTTCAAACATGTGTTTGTTTCTTTTTCTTCTGCTTTTGTATTTTTTATGTCTCTGCTGCTGATGATGATGATGAACATGATGAAGATGATGATGGGATTACTTGAAGTTTGTTGTGTTATTTGATGACTTTGTTAAAAGAAGATGTGATGCAGTAGTTTTTGCCTCCGGCCTTGTGTCTGTCCATCGAATGTTTGGGTAAAAATCAGAGCTGAAATGGAATCCACTTGTTGGTTATTTATGATCCAAACTTAACTTTGCTGGGCGTCGTCCCCACCCTCTCTCTCTCCTCCTCACCTTTCCTGTCTCTCTTCAGCTGTCTGATCAAATAAAGGCAAGAATCTTCCAAAAGTCGATAACTTCAGGCCTAAACAGGGACATGAAACTTTACAGGGTGTGTACAGTAGTGTAAGATTTTGTTGTTTCAAAGTAAAACAAAAAGCAGTAACTCCCTGATCAGCTGCTTCTTAAGATGTCACCGACTGCATGAGACTCTTTCTTCACATTGCTGAATACTTCCTTTTTCTTCTCAATGTTTCAACTGAGTGCTTCATATTTAATCAGATTTTAAAGTCAGTTAAATACAAAGACAAGGTGAGTTTAAAGATGTACCACATTTCAGCAACGTCCGGCTGTATTGAGGTCATTAAAACAGGAAGTGAACGCTCACCGATAAACGACTCTAAAACATCTTGAAGTTGACGCCGGTTTGAGAAATTCACAGGTTGCTGTTAAAGTCAACAGAAGCTCACTGAGTCAGCGGGGAAGCTCCACAAATACTTTTACTTAAAGGGATGAAGTGGGGGAAAATGTCTGAAGTCTGCTAAGCGATGTCTTATTTGTCTTATAAACTTCACTTCCTACAGTTTCTCAATGTCTGAACAACAAGATCTGTGGGGATCTGAAAAAAATCATAATTTTCTCCCACCAGTGTTTAAAAGTCTGAAAAGTTACAACTCAAAAAACTGAAACAAATCAGCCCACTTAATTATTCTAGATGTCTTTGTCATATTGGGTCATAATTTAGACTTTTTTTTCTGCTTATTGTTGAAAACTTTGCTGAAAACAATAGTTTAACTTATTAAATCCAGATTATCTTACATTTTTGACAAAAGTTGCCAACGTTTTGAATTAATTTCTTGGTTTTCTCTTTGTTTGGACTTCTCTAGTCACTTTGTTTCTGGTAATTGGTACTGTTTTTTTTGTCCTCGCTTTGAATTGTTGACTTTTGGTATCCTTTTCCATTTAAAATGTTTCTTTTCTCATGTTTTTTATTTATTCATCATGATATAAAAATTCAGACGTTTTGTCAGAGTCCTAACCATGAAGGGGAAAAGACCCACAAGCTTTATTTGTTTTATCATGACTAACTTTTAATGTCTTTAATTCCTTTTCAGCGGGGTGTGTGAGCTTCCAAAGAACTTTCTAGACTTGTGTTTCCAAATGATTTTACATGTGATCCCTTAAAGAAGAGGGCCGGGGGGGGGGTTCCTAAACTCAACCTGTCCTCACATGTTGCATCATGTTTCAAAATATCTAACTAAATCGAATGACTTAATTCGCTTACACTGACTTTGTTTACACACTTACACAAACACAGAGTCCCATGCAAGTGAGTCATGTTATAATTACAGCTACATAAAACACCTGTGTTTACTGTAAGTGGTTGGATTTCTTTAAGTGGCAGGAGAGACAATGGGTCAATAATGTGAGTAATGTGCAACAAAAACAGATTTCATTTCCTCTTATCAACCAAAAATAAAGATGTTCTGGAAGTTTCTGGAGCAACAGCACTTTTATTATTTTTATCTTCTTGTTGTCATTTTTATTAAAAATGTGCGGGACTAAATTAAACATATGTACAGTAACAAAAATATATTTAAAAAGATGTTTAAAAAAATAATAATTCCAGCAAACTAATTTTATAATAAACAGCCAAAAGTCGGTGTTTGTTTTTGCTGCGTCACTGCATGTTTATCAGATTCACTTTCAGTTTGAGAAATAACTAAATAGAAAACTATAAATTATATATTCAGCTCCTTTTTTATGCGAGTTTACCTCTTTCCCTACTTGATAGCATTTATCTTATATTTAGTCATTTTTCGATTTAAATTAAAAAAGAAAAACAAGACGAGGCACAAAATCAGCTCATTTTACGTCACCATCTTTTACGTCAGTTCCCTTCGGACGTCTTACGTGATGACGTATGATGTGGCTCTCTAGGATAAATTGGTCTGTAATTTGGTGAATAGCATTCGCTGTTAGCGTCTCTGAACGTTAAAGACACGCTGAAGAGGATATATGTTTTGTTTGCCTTTTCTGAAGTCGTTTTCTTGGTGAGTAATCTTTTGTTATTTGAAGTTATTGGACTTTCAAAAAGTTTTGGCGTGTTTTTGTTTCTTTCGGCTAAACAGGAAGTAAAGTTTTAATTCCTTTACGTTGAATTCAAAAAGCCAATTTAATGACCTAACATGTTATAATCAATTTGAAAGCGGAATAAAGAACACTGGTGTTAATTTAATTTAATTCAAATTGAATTGAATTATTATTATTTTTTTTATATAAATTTTTTTGTTTTGTTTATTTTTTTCACCCTTTTAAGTACCGACGAGGTAGCTAACGGGTACCGTCGTCATGGTTACAGCCGTTTAAATGTCAAAATAAACCCGTAAGTGAAGTTTGACGGTCGTAAAACAAACTTTTTAAAAAAAACCTCTAATTCAGTTATTAATACTGCAATTAAGTTATTGTGACTTCTCTGTCTTGGCACTTACATTTAAAATATTTATTTTGTTGTTTTTTGATGTTTGTTGGGAGGGGGGGGGTGGAGAGGGTCATAAAGTGTTAGAATGGTGACATGTCCTGACATAACCCAGATAAACAGAAGTGTTTATACACATGCCTCTGTCACCACCTTCTTTATGAAGCTCTTAAATGTATTTAGTGATGTCAGTGTGTCTCATTCTAGCTCTTTTTAAAGATTATGTCAGTTAAATAAATGTCTGTTTGAGAGACATGGCCACTGAAAACCTCAAAGAACAACCAAAAGATAACCGGTGTTGATTATGATTTTCTTTCTAACACCAGAAAACCAACATGGCAAACGGTCACGTGGAAATCTACGACCCCATCTCCAACCAAAAGAACCTCAAAAGCAGCACAGACTGCGATACTAAATCTACCTCAGACACAGACAGCATGGAGGACACCACAGAGTTCAGACTCCTCATGGCCTACGCAAAGAGGAGACATTCAAACAAGGAGGGAGAGCCTAAACTAGTGGGCCAGTGTGGCGTACCTGGAAACGACGAGAAAACCACAAAGACTGTTGAGGACGAGCCGGAGAAGAAGAAGAAGAAGAAGAAGGGGGGGAAGAAATTGAAAGTTCTGCGGAGAATTTTGAGCTGCATCAGTCCTCAGACAAAACTCGCAGAACATTCCCCGACTGCTGGGGAACCTGATGTCAACTTTCGCTGTGGTGTTCCAAGAGAAGGTGAGAAGTGAGATACAGCCTCAGCAGCTCGTTTAAGATCATAAAAGTACTTTTTAAACAGCCTGGATTCAAGTCTGGATGTCCATTAATCGCCATCTTCATTGACGAGCCGAAGTAAAATAATCATACTGGTTTTTTGTTTTGCTATGTAAATGAGCTTACCTGTTAGTCCAGTTATGTCAGACTGTGTATAGCCAAGCCAGGACCTGCATATAAGTCAGGAGGCCAGAAAAGAAAGGAGGCTAATCGGACGCCAACAAGGGCTTGTTGTCAAGCTTTATTTCATTCGGCTCCAAACACGGAAACAGACTCAGGATGGCAAATGTTAGCTGAATAATGAATGATTAATCATACTGGAAACCATGAAGAGATAACAGCACAATGTGATGAGTCATTTTTTTGTATTGGGGTTTTTTTTTTTTAACCCGTCATTTTATTGATTAATCTGAGAAATATGTGCTGAAAAACCCCCCGCTGCATGTAGTTACGTAGTTACGCAAACAATTTGTTGCTTGACACATTTTTGAATCACCAGTCAGTCGAACACTAACGGAGTAAATCAGGTGGACTGTGTTTTAAACATGCAGCCACAGGTTCTTATTGTCTGTTGACCTTTCTCCCCGCACTATATACCCTGCAGGCTGTGACTCAGCTCCTCGTGGCTCACGCTCTGACGTTACCGAGAGTCTTTAGGAGGCAGTTTTTCAGGAGAATTTATTTGGGAAGTCCCATTCCCGAGATACCAGCTTGGACTTGCCCTGTGCCTGTCTTCCTAAGAAATGTGTCTTGTGCCTTTCGATTAGTCAACCATTTCTTTTTTTTTAAAATGTGTTTTGTTGTGATGATTCCTTTCAGATCCAAAAGAAGAAGAGAGATTGGAAGAGGCAGTAAGCAGACTGAGCGAAATCGCAGATGACATCCAGTTCATCCGTCCAGAAATCGAGGTTGACTCGCCAGACGGTGAGTTCAGGTGTCCTCTCTGCAGAATGAATCTGAACCCTTCACTGGGATAAACGTGGCTGCGTTTATGTTCATGCTACATTACAGACCTTAACTGTATCTCCATGTTTCTTACCTTTCTGTCAGGGTTTTACATTTTGGATATTTGTTGATTATTTTGTGTTTTTTCTTGTAGATGTGGAGAAAGTTATCGGCCTGCTGCTGAGGGAGGCTGGAGACAGACTGAACGACCAGGTCCGATAAAACATTTCCCCCTGACTAATTGTTGCCTTACAAATGTGCAAACAACCTTTTGTTAAATATGACTTTTGTTGCGTCAAACTTGTGCATGTTTGTCCTCAGTTAATCTGACACATAGACATGTTTGAACAGCTGATAAGACATTTAAGATTTAACCACCGATAGCAGTCAGATTTAAGGTCATGTTTGTGTATTTCTGCTTTAAGAAATGTTCAATTTATTGTGAATTTTAAAGCAGAAGTTTACATGTGGGTGTCATTTATCTCGTCCGGGTCCGATTTTTAAAAACACTAAACAGAACATGTGTCTTGTCTGCAGAACGAGGAGCTGAAACAGACTATTTCGAGGATATTTTGGAACTACGATTTCTTTAAGAGGTTGATATCGGCGTTCCTCAACAGTATGGGACTCCTGCCCTCCAACCGGGAAACCCCGGGGCCTCAGACATCACCCAAAAAACAGATCGCTGCGACCTGTGAGGTAAGAACGTTTTGAAATGAACCTGTTTGGCATCCTGATGATTAAATATTTGTTTTTCTGCGTCATTGAGAGACATTTGTTTGTGTTTCCATTTCACACTCATTCACAAAAATGTGTTTTGAGGTATGAAACAGGTTCAGTTTTGTCATAATGATTTCAGATTAAACCTTTATCTGCAGAATTTGAGCAGTTAGCAGCTTTCTTCCCTCCATTTTTAAACGCCTGTCTTCCTGAGTAAAGAACTTGTTTTCTTCCTAACAGGTCACTAGTCGTCTGACAGCAGCTGACACGCTGCCCATGAACCGGCTGCTCGGCCTCGGAGCCAGATATCTGCAGGAGCATTACTCAAACTGGGCGACGGAGCAGGGCGGATATGTACGTTTAAAACACGCATTATAAAGAAACCTCTCTTACAATAGTCTGATTCTTCTGATGTTAAATGATCATTTCTTTCCCAGGAGGAAGCTTTCTACAGTGAGAACGAGGATGAGGGCGAGGATGACAAGCAGTGAGCAGAAGGAAGCATCGCTCCAACTCGACATCGCCCCCTGCAGGCGAGCAGTAAAACTGCCACACTTTGCATTAGCTGCCTGGAACCGAACAACAGGTTCTTCAGGTTACTTGAAACAGAGCATTTTTATTGTCTTTCTGCCTTCACATCTCAGACACAACTACAAGTGTAGAAGTCACTTTATGGAGGAGTGATGAGTGCTTACAGAAGCTTTAACTTTTGCTCAAGGCAAAGGGGAAAAAAAAAAAAAAAAGACTCAGGACAATTATATTTCTCTCTGCCAAATCAGTTTACATGCCAATTAATGTCTGAGCGGAGCAGCATGAACAGATCTGCTTTTGTAAATATGATGTAGCAGGTTTGTGTGTTTCTCCGTTACTTTTGTTGGTGATTTAATGTAGAAACTTTGCATTAGTCTTAACACAGCTTTGAGCCAAAGAGGAATCTATTTCTTGCCATTAATGCTTCACATGAATTAAAGGTGCAGTGCGTAAGATTTCACAACATCAAGCAGCGACTAAAGGATAACTTAAAGTGGCCTTAAAGCACATGAAGAATCTTACACAGGTCTTTGTAAGTGTTATTTATAAGACATAAAACTTTATAACTTTCTGGGAGATGCAGGGTTTCTGTAGTAAATGTTAAATTGGCATGTTTTCTGAAGTTTCATAGGCAAAGATAAATCAGTATTTTGCACATTTTTTACTTTTTCATCAATATTAATTCAATTACCGGTAAACTTCTTCTTGAGGGATGTTGCGTTATCTTTGATTGTTGTTGTTTTTTTTGTTTTCTACTTTACCAAAGACTGTTAAGATCAAATTTTGCCAAAGAAATGTATGCATAGTGAAATTATGAACACTGTAACATACGTGCACATGGACAAAAATAAACCGTCATTGAAACCTCATGTTTATGGGTGTTTTTAATTTTCCTGTTTTCTATGATAGGTTGGCATGGAGATATAGACTTTGAAATTAATGACAACGATTGAAATTACACTAATTATTTAAATGTATAGTTGGCAAGAGAAATGTAAATATGACATTAAGTACTGTACAAGATTGTAGAATGAAGACAATTAGTACAATGTCGCATAATTACTGAATTGTTCAAATTACCTTGCTGTGTAGACCACATGATAATTGACCTAGAGGCTTTTTTTTATAATATAAATTAATGCATCTCTTGTTAGAAGACACTACAGTTCAATAAGAAACGTGTCTAAGTGAAAACAGCGGCATCTTGTGGACAAAGGAGGAACTGCAGCAGGATACTTTGACATAGCCCCATTTGGATTTTTGGTAATTTATTGCATCTTCTTTCATATAAATTGTAAACATACTTTCTCAAAGTTGCATTTTATTTACAGGTTACTTATTTATTTATTTATTTTTATTAATTCGGCATACACATTTTTGAATCTTTAATGCGCTTACATCAACACAGAAATAGACATTACTTCATCTTGTGTGTGCTTATAATGGATGAAAGTTAAGCCAATTAAAAAGGGCAATCCATTGAATGAAGATGTGTTTTTCTTTTGTGATAACGCCTTTAAAAATAAAAAATATACTTTAATTGGCATTTTTGTGACGTTTTGCATACGTTAACTTCCAGAAAGTGTCAAGCAGCGGGAGCATCTCGCCTCCCTGTGAAATGAGATCCAACCTGTTCCCCTGCTCAGACTGCTCAGCCTGCTTACCAACAACAACACGCGCTCCAGGAGCATGTCGGTGTCATCAGTGACGTGTCACCTGTCTTGCCCTGTTTAATAGCTTACTTCTACCGACTTATTACGCACGGGTGTGTGTGAGGAGTGTGCGTAATGTTTCACGTAGTGCACCAGGGTCGGAAATACGTCCCCACGCGCTCGCCGGTCACGGATGACTCCACATTATCCGTGCAGGCTGTTCATATCATCAAGTCTCCCGGTTCACTGAGGAAGGCACCAGAGGCTACTTGGCCACCACCGGGTGCCAAGATGCGGATCTCCAAAGCCAACAAAGGCGGTGTGGTGGTGAGAGCTGTCCGGCGGCATCCGTCTCCTCAGCCGGCCAGTCTGGAGAGCCTGGAGGCGGCGTGGAGTGAGAGAGAACACCCGAAGTCACCGAGCCGTGAGAGGAGAAACGACGAGGAAGAAGGAGCCGCGAACGGGATGGAAGGAGGACCACCGAGGAACAGGAAGAAGGGGTTCAGACCCCCCGATGTGAGGACCATATTCTCCCCCGAAGAGAGGGACCCCAGGGTGAAGGAGGAGTCCGGGGAGGGGCACACCTTCGAGCCAGGAGGCGAGAACACCTGGTGTGATGTGTGCTGCAATTACATCTTCCAGCATGGTCTCACCTGTGCAGGTGAGTCTGCAGATGATGATGGTGGGCGGTGGGAGGGAGGGGGGGTATTACAAGATGAAGAGCCCCCTCCAGAGGTGGCCTAGTTTAAAGACTTCAATATGTTTTTAATAATGATTATAGTATTTTTTACACGTTTTTTTCTGGGAGAGAGACTAAATAAATGACATTCATATCCAAAGAAGTAAATATTCAGTGGAGCTCTGATCCCTAAAGTCCTCCTGAAGCCCCTTACCCCCCAACATAAACATGACTCAACCCCTCACCTTTCACAGCACAACACAAATACACACATCAACATGTTCATAGCGGAAAATTCACACACACAATCCTCCTTCTCAAGGCCACCGAACAAAACGTACCACCTCCCCTTCCCCCTTTTCTTTCTCTCTTCTTTACCTTGTTCGGCTATTTCCCATTTTTAATTCTTCATTCTATGACTTTTGCAGTATTTCTTGCCCTTACTGTCCTTCTATGTGGGTTTGTTATCGTCTAGCACTCGGATTGTTTTCACATTTGCAAAATGAATCAAACAAATAAATAACAAAGAATTCAATATTAGATATAAACAGAATTAAACACCAGTCACTGAATCACAACAGTTAATGTAGTTAACAACAAATACTAAAGTTACAAACATGTGAATTTAGTAATTTTGTTAGAATTGTAAGAAATTTGCACTGAGTTTGGTTGAGAAACTTTTAAATCATTTGATTTATCATTAAAGTGACATCCACAATAATAAAAGGTAGCACCATATGACATGTAGTGGAGACCGCAGGGTTTAATGACATAAGAAGGCAGGGCGCCGAAACGCAGCCCAGCAGCTGGAATGCAGTCGGTATGCAGACGAACCAGTTCAGGTCTTAGAGGAAACAAATCTGAGTGTCTCCATGAGTGCAAACTGTCGACCTCTGCGTCTATTTCTGTCCTTCCAACACTCGTCATAAAACAGAAGGCTCTTCTTCTTCTTCCTCATGTTAAACACTGCCATGGTGCTTTTGTTACAGAGGTGATGGTCAAGTTTTAGTCCAGGATTCATTCCACACTTTCTTTGTGTTTCTTGTCAAACTCAGCGCTATTAAACTGGAATTTTATAAATGTAAACAACAGATCAGTTGAATCTAAGTTTTGTCTGATGACGTCTTTGGCTCTGCAACAAAACTTTGTTTTCTTATCAGTTAGCGTTTCCAGTGATGGGAGACGCTATAGAAAGACACAATATCTTTATTACAGTAAAGTTTAATTTACATCAAATACAACTGAAGCCTAAATTCAGATACTTTGCCACAGCCTCTTTAGTTTTGTTTTTAGTGTACTGCTAAAGTGCCTTAATGTTAGCTAGCTGTAGTTAGCAGACTTTAGCAAACTTTTTTTCTTGCGGGCCAAAACTGTCGTGTTAGAATCGCTCGCGGGCCACAGGTTTTGTTTTTTTAAATATAGTTGAAAAAATAGTAAGGCTTTGTAGATCAGAAGGTTCGCTAAAGAAACCCTTTAATAAAAGAAATCAAATATTTAGATTTCTTCGTTCTACTTTATTTGTTTTTTTCTCAGAGCCTGTAACGTGGTTCATTCAGCTCAGGTCATTAAACGGTTAAACAACAGTCCGCTTGTTTGAAAAAACTGTGCATACGTTTTTTTTCATAGTTTACAAAAAAATGTGGAAAATAGTAAAAGCTGTAGATTAAAAAAAAAAAAACATACATGTTACTGAACATTTTCTATTTTAGGAATATTGTTCATCGTTTGGAAAAAGTAAAATAAGATAACGTGCCGATCTTAATCAAGGCCTCAAAATCTTCTGATTCTTCATTTGAAGTCACGAGCCGCAAAAAAAATCCCCTCAAGGGCCGCAAATGGCCCTCGGGCCGCACTTTGGACACCCCTGCTTTAGACGATAATGCTGCTGAGAAAAAAATCTAAATCTTACTTACAAGACTGCAACAAAAACAGATTGTCAAGAATAAAAGATACTCTGAAACATGGCGGACACATGCGGACACAGCTGCAACATCCTCCCTCTCTGACTTTGTCCGTTTAGCCTTTTAGCCTTCATTATGTTCACAGACATTATTCCTGCACAATGAGCGCCGTGTTTCCCGTCAGTTTTACTGACAGCGTTAATGCAGTTAATGCTTCTGCTCTTTGAGAACGCATTTCCAAGGTTAATTGCCTCTTGGGGAAGCTTGTTAAAGGCCCATTTCTTCATCTAGAAGTCAACAAACTTTGAAAAAAAAGGACAAAATGTTCTTCAGCGCCTCACAGCTAATGCGTTTTCAGATCTCCACTGAGGGCAGCTGGTCACTTGTTCACTTATTAACACACACAGTCACTTATAAGTCAGCTTTGTTCAGTTGTTTCTTTTACACATTAATTGACGGGTTCCTCTGGTGCAGATACTGACCCAGTCTGAATCACACAGAGGTCATTGAAGGTCATATTTAGGGGGCATAACTGGGTCAAAAACGACCCGTGAGGTTGTTTTCCAAAGGTGAAATCTTCTGGTGTGGACTAAAACAACAATACTGAATATAACACAAGTAGCCACCAGCACAGGCTGTAACCCCAGATTTGGTATCCCAAGGTCATAAAGTACTCAAAGTGCTTTTTACACCTCAGGACACACCTACACATTCACACACTGACGGCAGAGGACGCTTTGTAAAGTGTCCTTCAGTATGAACTAATCCAAACCGACTCTACCACATCCGCCTGAGTAAGTCTAGATCTGAAAACAACCAGAAACCACTTGTTATCACAAATATGACCGAGGACATATTTTGTCCTTCATGCCTCTTGATGAGTTCAGAGACAAACTGATTGTTGCAGTAAATGAATGCATTCAGGATTCTCGAGACTCGATCAGGAGACATCCTCGTCTCTCTCTCTCTCTCTCTCTCTGTCTCTTCCTGTTGGTCTCTCGCCCTGCACTTTCTCTCTTTGTCTGGATACGAGATGAAGTAACACAAACCCGCCCCGGGTATCAGACTCTTCTTTGTGTGATCGGGTTTAGCGTTGCACCAGATACTCTGTGTGAGTTAGGAAGAGGAGTGAAAGTGTCTCTACGAGCGCTGCATTACAGGTTTCTGCAAAAACCTACATCCTGATCTCTCTGCTTTAAATACTGAAACAGGTTAAGATAAGCAGCAGTGTAATAACTATACACAAACTTCACTTCACCCAACCCTAAACCCTTATCAGTGTGGATTAACCTCTAGATGATTTTTACAAACTACTTATTTTCTGCTCCTTTTTAAAGCTCTTTGAACTGCTATTGAATTTGTCTGAAAGGTGATTTATAAATAAAGTTTTATTTGATTTATCCATAATAAAAAGATTACTTTCAGTTCTTTACCTAGTATGAAACTTAAGTTAATTTAATGTACCAATATTAGTGTTTTAGTGTAAATTAGATATTTGTTTATGTAAGTGCAGAAAAGAAGTTTAATTCTGAGTACTTTGTCAGAGGAAACTCTTTTTTTAAAGAGCCATTATTGCCTCCATTAGAGAGGACAGCGGGAGAGAGAGACAGGAAGTGTTGGGAGGAGAGAGAGTGGGGGGGTTGGCGTTGGAATTGAACCTACGGCGGCTGCGGTGGGGACTGTAGCCTCTGCACATGTGGCGCTCAACATAACCACTAGGCTACCAGTGTCTCATCATAGGTAACATTTTAAATACTTGTTGCGCCTCATCCTGTCAAATCAAATGTATGTGAAGTGATCTTAATGATCGCAGGAAGCAGAGAAATATCTTTCAAAATAAGAGACTCAAATAAAACCAGAGAGAGAGAGAGAGAGAGAGAGAGAGAGAGAGAGAGAGTGTAGTGGAGGAAGAGTTTCACGTTGTACCGTCGTTTATTGTTGAAGCTCATTTTTGAACCAGCGTGCAAAATACTGAAGCTGCCTCCAGTGTGTGTGTGTGTGTGTGTGTGTGTGTGTGTGTGTGTGTGTGTGTGTGTGTGTGTGTGTGTGTGTGTGTGTGTGTGTGTGTGTGTGTGTGTGTGTGTGTGTGTGTGTCGGCAGCTGCCAAAGGATGAGTGTATCTTGTCTCTTGTGGAGCCAAACTGTCACAGCGACTGAACAAACAAGAGACGGTAGCTGCCACATTCACACACAAATGGGTGTCAGTGTGTGTGTGTGAGAGAGAGAGAGAGAGAGAGGGAGAGAGGAGGGACCCACACACTCACACGAGAGAGAGAGAGAGAGAGAGAGAGAGAGAGAGAGAGAGAGAGACATCATGGATGGAAGTGAAGGATGATTTTGTCCCAAGTTTGGAACTACGATAAGTGATCTCTGGATTTACATCAACATCTGGAATCTGTAGGAGCCTAAAACATATTTGCTGTGAGTGTGTGTGAGTGTGTGTGTGAGTGTGTGTGTGAGAGAGAGAGAGAAATGGGTTTTGCTAGAAACTTTGGCAAAACTTTGAGGAGAGTCTCAGGATTTTTTTACCGCTTCCCGAAAGTGATGCGACGCTCCGGACGACTGGAGGTCCGTCTGCTGTGGAGAACCTCCGGTGAGCTCTGAGTTTGGGTTTCCAAACAAAATTATTCATCAGTTCATCGATTTATACTCCACTGAAGCGGAAAGTCTCTTAAAATGTGAATACATCTTCTGAAGGGGACATCATAAAGACTGCAAAACTAGTTAGAGTCTAAATTAAAAAACACAACAGACTCAAAACAAACACACAAGGAAAAAAATAAATCTCAAATGAGGCAAATAAAAAGTATTTCTTAGTTACAGGTTGTTGAAAAAAATGTCTTTTTCAGTCGCATATGCTTATCAATAATGAATATTTTTAATATTTCTAACATAGTGGCTCATCTCAGAAGCATATTCACACTTTGTTACTTTAAGTGGAACTCTATGCAGCACATTCAGCTCATCTTACATGTTATTTAAACTGAGCTGAATGTGTTTTATTCTTCATTTCATTTGTTATTTGTTCCGTACATGTCAAAACACACAAGAAAAAAAACAGTTCACACTTTATCCCATGTACGGAAAGGAGCAGGGAGAAGAATACACCTCGTTTTGCCTTCCCCCCCCTTACTCAAAAAGAAAACAATAAATGTCTGGATGGT